AGAAATACAAAATCCATAACTACTATAAAAACTTCTACGCATAAAAACTAGAAAACCTTGAGGAAATGGATACACACAACCTCCCAAGCCTGATTCAGGAAGGAATAGAAATCCTGAACTGACCAATAATGAGTAGCAACACTAAAACAGTAATAAAATATCCAGCCAAAAAAAAAAGCCCTGGCTCAGATGGGTCACAGACAAATTCTAACAGACCTACAAAGAACTGGCACTCATTCTACTAAAACTGTTCCATAACATCAAGAAGGAGTTAACAATCCTTAACTCATTCTATGAAGCTGATATCACCATGATTCCAAAGCCAGGAAAGAACACAACAGAAAAGGAAAACTACAGACCAATATCTCTTATGAATGTAGATGCAAAAATCTTCAACAAATTACTAGTATCAAAAAGATAATCCACAAAGATCAAGTGGGTTTCATCTCAGGGAAGCAAGTATGGCTCAGTATATACAAATCAATAAATATGATTCACCACATAAACAGAAATAAAAACAAAGACCATATGATCATTTCAATAGGGCCAGAAGAAGCTTTCAATAAAATCCGGCACTCTTTTATGATAAAAACCCTAAAAAAAACTAGGCATAGAAGGAACATACCTCACATAAATCAAAGCTATGTATGACAAACCCACAGCCAATATCACACCTAAAGGAGAAAAGTTGAAAACATCCCCCCTACCAAGAACTGTAAAAGGATACTTGCCTACTGTGACTACCTCTATTCAACATAATACTGGCAGTCCTACTCAGAGCAATTGGGCAAGAGAAAGAAATAAAGGGCTTCCAAATAGAAAAGAGGATGAAGAGGAGAAGAGGATGTCTAAATATACCTGTTTGTATATGATATAATATTGTACCTAGAAAACCCTAACAACCCCAAAAGTCTCCTAGAATTGGTAAATAAATTCAGTAAAGTCTCAGGTTACAAAATCAATGTGTTCAAACTAGAAGCATTTCTATATGCTAAATAATGGTCAAGCTGAGAGTCAAATAAATAACATAATACCATTTATAATAGCTATACTTGTAGGGGCAGAACACAAATATAAGAAGGTCCTTATCTAACAAAAGCAATTAATGTAACCTGGTTCTCTGTACTGTCAATAAATCCCCAACAATGAAAATATAAAATAAAATAGCTATAAAGAAAATAAACTACCTAGTAGTATACTTAATGAAAGAGGTACAATATCTCTATAAGGAGAACCACAAAATGCTGATGAAAAATCATAGATGACACCAAAAAATGAAAAAATATCCTGTATTTGTAAATTGAAAGACTTGTTGACATTGTTAAAATGTCTATATTGCCCAAAGTGCCAAATTCCCAGCAAAATCCAATTCCCAACTAAATGACAAAATCATTTTTCACAGATGTAGAAAAAACTGTAAATGTAAAAAACTGTAGAATAAACTTTATATGTAGCCAACAAAGAGCCTGAAAAACCAAAGCAATCTTAAGCAAAAAGAATAAATCTGGAGGTATAACATCACCAGACTTCAAACTAAACTACAAGGCTATAGTAACCAAAACAGTGCTGTACCAGTATAAAAGTAGAGGCATAGACCAATGGAACAGAAGAAAGAACCAAAAAATAAAACCATTTACCTACAACCAGCTAATTTTTTGACAAAATATACAACAACAGACAGTGAGAAAATGAAGCCCTCTTCAATAAATAGTAAATAGGGCTGGAAAATTTGGATAGCAAAATGCGGAAGAATGAAACAAGACCCCTGTCTCTCACCTTACACAAAAGTGGATTCAAGATGAATTAAAGATTTAAATGTAAGTTGTGAAATCACAAAAGTTCTAGAAGAAAACATAGGAAAAATTCTGCCAGATGTCAGCCTAGGCAAAGAATTTTTGACTGAGACCCCAAGGCAACTATAGCTATAACAAAACAAACAGAATTTAATTAAATTTAAAGGTTTCTGTATGACCAAGAAAACAATCTGTCAGTAAATAGACAACCTACAAAATGGAAGAAAATGTTCACAAACTATGCATCTGTCAAAGGGTTAATATCTGGAATCTATAAAGAATTGAAATCAACAAGAGGAAACAGCCCAATTAAAGAGTGGATAAAAGACATAAACAGAGGTGTGTTTTTTTTTTTTTTTTTTTGTCACAGAGGATATACAAATATCCAATAGACATATGAAAATATACCCAACATTGCTAATCCATAGGGCAAGGTGAATTAAAATCATAATGAGATACTACCTTACCCTTGGCAGAAAGGCCAATATTAAGAAATAAAATAACAACAGATGGTGGCATGGATATGTTAAAAAAGGGAATACTTGTACACTGTTGGACTTTGAAGTAGCACAACCTCTAAGGGAAATAGTAGAGAGCTCCCTCAAAGAACTATAAGTAGACCTACCACTCCATACAACAGTCTTACTGTGAGTTATCTATCCAAAGGAAAAGTCATTTTATCAAAAAGACACCTGCATCCAAATGTTTATTACAGCACCATTGCAAAGATATTGAGTCAACGTACGTGTCCATCAATTCTTGAGTAGATAAAGAAAATGTCTATACCATAGAATACTACTCAGTCATAAAAGGGAATGAAATAATGTTGTTTGTGGGAACTTGGATGGAACTGGAGACCATTATCCTAAATGAAGTATCTCAGGAATGGGAGAACAAACACCAAATGTTCTCACTGATAATGAGGAGCTAAGTCATGGATGTACTTGGTCATAAAATGGTGTAAAGAACATTGGAAACTAAGTGGGGAGGATGGAGGGTAGTGGAGGAAAAAAATTACTTATTGGGATATATACTAATCTCATGATGGGCACAGTAAAAGCCCTGATTTCAGTATTATACAATTGATCCATGTAAGAACACTCAGACTTCCTTATATTTTGAAATAAAAATTACTTAAAAAAGTAAAAATAGAGGAGGGGAAAGCTGAAGTGAGGAAAACAAAGAAGAAAAAAATCCTAAATACAGATAGATGTCTGAATGTTTAAAGTATTCTAATCCCTCTGTTGAATGCCAGATAGATAGAAAATTTCTACTTGTTCCTGCTGTGCTGCAGGGCTTATTCCATTCCATTCCACTTTTCTGTGACATCAGCAGATGTCATTTGGCTTTGGTGGGGTTATAAGACAAAAACATCACATTGGAGACTCATCTTTCAGACATGGGAGATTGAGGGATGAGAATCTAAAGAACTGGAGTTCTGGTCTAACATAAAAAGTCAACCAGAAAGTATTATGAAACAATCTCTGGCTAATGTTTTGAATATTTTGAACGGGAAAAGCCCAGGTGGATTTGTGAAGAGCTAATACCTCAAGGATGTACAGGAATGGATGATACTTATGTAAAAATATTAATAATTTTTTAATCAGGTCATTAAACAAGATGCGATATTTCTTGGTATCTATTGAGTGAAGTTAGTGACTGGTTTATAAAAGCTTATCATCAAAAATGTGTTGACTCGGCGCCTGTGGCTCAAGCAGCTAAGGAACCAGCCACATACACCTAAGGTGGTAGGTTCGAATCCCCAGCCCGGGCCCGCCAAACAACAATGATGGCTGCAACCAAAAAATGGCC